GTAATGGGTTAAAAATTACTTCACAATATTATACGATTCAGATTTGTCGATAATTCAGACAAATTGCCACCGTTCATTTAAAGTGGAGCTGTAGCTCAATGACGAACTGTACGTGGAGTCCTGAGTTTGGAAAGCGAACCTTAACGCAAAGGAACCTCTTTGTAATATGAATATGTAATATGTGGTGAAAGGTTTTTGTATGGCGATTAATTTCTTTTTTGCATTTTCATTTACCTGGGTGTTTGTATAAGTACCTAAATGATTGCTTAGAAATGGCAGTGGTCTCAAAAAAAAAAATGGCAGTGGTGACTGCAGGAGTACATTTCATCTCATGATCTGTTGCACAGGGAAAAACGCAAGTAACATTTTGCGGTGAATTTCTTGTGTGCTCTAGCAGTGCGAGTGGAAGAGATAGGACAAATATAGAGCACTGAGAGGAGGGTAAAAAAGGATTTGAAAACAAATCTTTGAGGGGATGCCTCCAGTTAAATAATAGTAAAATCAAATAGCAGATGTCGCCCTAAAGTCCATGAGCAGTACTTGTAAAGGGAGAAATGCAAGAACTCCGTTCTTCTTGAGTTGCGGTCAGTAAGCATTTCTGAAGTGCACATTGGGTACAGATGGGATGTGAGGTTACAAAGGGAAGGAAGATATTGTCCTTTCCCTCCCTGGGAATAGCAGAGCTCGGGGGGGGGGGTGCAAAATGCTGAAAGGGATGTTGGAATCTCTCATTTACAAGTGGATTGTTTCTTGTCTCCCAGAACCATCCCCCCGCCCAGGCCCACACAAAGAAGGGCTCTGGATTCAGGGTCCTGTGGACTCAGGTGTATGCCCAGAATTGTTGGACCTCTCAAAAATCTACGAGGTCACCCATCAGAGGGTAAAAGCCAACAGGACAGGGTGATCGGGAGGTTGACTGACTCATAAATGTCCACATAAGTGGAAGAACGTGTGTTAGGAATGATGATGTGGGACGCAATTTATTGGAATGGTTTTAGGCAAATTGTAACTCTTCTGGGAAGAAAAGCTAAATGTGTCACTAAGTCATCACTTAAACTAACCGGGTTCTTAACCGATGTGTCCCGAGGAAAAGAACTTTTACTGTACTCAGTTTCCTCCTGTTAAGGATAATGTAGTCCACCATCGGGGGGTCTGTGGAGCCTCTCCTGGAGCCCTTTTGATGATTTGCTTGGGTTTGGCTCGTAATCCATCTCCTGGAGAGCACATTTCCCCAGAGGCTGATGAACCCCAGGGCCTTCAGACAACTTTCTTGGTTCTTTAGTCCTCAAGCACCTGGAGCAAGAGTGTACTTGCCCCTCTCCTTTGGGACTTTCTGCCTCTGCCTGTGGGGATTCACCTCATGCTTTGGCCCTGTGTTAGTCATCTCTTGCTATGTAACGAATTACCCCCAAAGCCAGCGGCTTAATGTAATAGACATATATTAGCTCACAGTGTCTGTGGGTCAGGAATCTAGACACAATTTGCCTGGGTGAGGGACTCCTATGAGTCTGCAGTCAAGGTGAGGGCCAGAGACATAGTCAGCTTAAGGGGCAACTAGAGGCGGACCTGAGTCCTAACTCACTTACATGGCTGTTGGCGAGCATGAAAATTCCTTGTTTGTTTGTTTTATGTCATCAGGAATACCTTAGCGTACCGTCAGATTGTGAGCCAGGTTGACTTTAAAAGAATTGTCACAGCTCTGGATCTGTGGCTCAAAACCAACCCTACGGAACTGTCGCTTTGCACTCATTACTCTGCTCATTTCCTCTCCAGGGGTGGCCTGTGAACCTCATCACAGCAGATGGTGTGTCCCCACTCCATGAAGCCTGCCTTGGAGGTCACGTCTCTTGTGCAAACATTTTATTAAAGCATGGAGCTCAGGTAAGTGCAGCTCAAATAATGTCTTAGAAACCATGAATGACAAACGAGTACTTCTATCCCTTTTGAATAATTTCCAGCATTTTTGACTAGCCTGAGTTGAGGTTTGAAGGGGGGTGTTTTCAAAAGTTGAATGTCCATCAGCTTCTTTGCTTTAGCAACAGATGAAGTATTGAGTTTTTAGCCAGAAAGTAATGATTTGCGTCTATATCATATTCTTTAACAGTCACTACTGAGAAACACCTGTTAGATATCTGCCTTCGTTCCTGAGGCTGGCAGGTAATGAAATATTTTGGAAAACATAGACCATTTGGCTCCGTAAGACCTGAATAATGGTCTCAAACCATGTCTACCATTTCCTAATATTGGAAACTTGGACACGTTACTTAGGCTCCGAGCTTTAAGAGTCTGTGTCTGAGAAAAGGGAGAAAATGACAAGGAAGTTATGTAGCTTCTTGTGGTTTCGTGAGGATTGAGAGACGTGAGGTATAGGATTATTACTTGAAGGGCGAGAATCAGGATGGCATAATGAGGTCCTAGAGAAGGAAGACACAAAGTCATTACGTTTGAAAGTAGGGACCAGTAAGTCTTCCATTAACTAAGTCCCCCATGTTCGAAAGTGATGGACGAGTCTGATCAGAAAATTATATATATACATACATATATATATGTATGTATATATATACATATACATATATGTGTATGTGTATATATACATATATATGTAGATATACACATATATATGTGTATATACATATACATATGTATATACATGTATGTACAATACATATACATATGTATATGCATATGTATATATATGTATATGTATGTACATATGTATATATACATATACATATATATATGTATGTGAGTTTCTCATATTCTCTCAACCGGCATTCACTGAGCACGTATTATGTGCCTAAACTCTGGATAAAGATTCTTAGGACCTTTGTAAACTACATGAGGGCACAGCCAGATAGGTAAACAGGTGAATAAGTGAATATAACCCTCGTTACTTTAATAGATAAACCCTGAAATCTCAGTAGCCTAATGCAATCAAAGTTGATTTCTTGCTCAACTGAAACTCCCGTGTGGGTGTTCTCTGTTGGGTGGCACTCTCTGGGGGTGATTCAGGCACGCAGCCTCCTTTCAGCCTGTTGCATCCATCTTCGACAAGTGGCTTTCACGTGTGCTCCTAGTGGTGGCCGCTACTCCGGGTGGCCAGAAGGAGAAAAGATGCAGAAGATTGCGCATGGAAGACGTTCAAGGGCCTACCTTGGCGGTGACCTCTATCGCTTTTGCCCGCACCCCGTGGGCCAGAACTCAGGCCACGTGTAACTGCCCGGGAGGCGGGGAAATGTAGTATGGCCGTGAGTTGCAAGGAGCGGAAGTTGGTTTGTTGAATGCACAGCATCTCAGCCACAGCAGGCCGTTACACGGTGCTCTTTTTGCCCACTATATCCTGCGGTGTAACAAAGCGCCCCAACTTAATGACTGAAGACAATAACCATTTATTTATGTCACAAATCCTTGTGTTGGCCAGATAGTTCTTCTGGTCTCTCCTGCTTCGGCTGACGTCAGCTTAGGCATTGGAGGTTAGCTGACCGGTCGGCTGGGGCAGGCTGGTTCGTGATGACCTTGGCCAGGATGGCTGAGGAGACGGAAAATCCCCGCGTGGTCTCTCATCCTTTGGCAGGCAGCCTGGGCCTGTTCACGTGGTAGCGGGGATTCCAAGAGCATCAAAAGAAGGTGGGCTCTCAGCTTGCGGCACATTTGCTGTTGTCCCATCGGCCAAAGCAAGTCCCCTGCGCACGCCCCGATTCAAGGAGGAAGAGCGGTCTCCGTCCTGTGAGGGGAGGAATTGCAAGGCTACATTGCAAAGGGATATGCATCCTGTGTGGAGAATCTGAGGCCATTTTTGCAAACTACCACCATGTGATAAGCTAAGGTGGTTGCTGGGAGCACACGGAAGGGTTCCTGGCCCGTTCGTTTCTGGTGGGGGAGAGAGGAGGCCCGAAGAGGATCCCTAGGGGAAATGATGTCTAAGTTGAAACGTAAAGGACCCGTTGGAATGGGCTGAATGCTGGGTTGTCCGTGCCAGGAAATGGCTTTCTCCTGACAGTAGTCGTAGAGAACCATAGATGAGTGCGTCATCGGGTTTATATTGGGGTTAGGTTTCCACACATGGAAACAGGGCCAGGACTAAGGAAAGGCACAGAGGCACCTAGAGTGCAAGCTTTAAAGAGCCCCTCACGCTCAGGGCTGTTCAGCATCACGTGCCCCTGGGAGTGAGTGTCTCCTTAAACTTTGCACCCTCACATCTTCTGTGCCTCCCTAATCCTAGCCTTCCTTGGAAATGGCTTGTGAGAATGCCTTCATTGTCTTCATAATATCTCTGCTGAACGGATTCACCACAGAATTATTTGACAATGTAGAAAGATTGCATTTGGCTTTGCTCTTTCCTATTCGATTATAGCCCAAACGCCGTGAAGTCGGATGTTAACTTGTAAGTTTCTGTCTGCTTTCCAACGTTTGGAAAGATCGCCCCCAAAGACGATAGTTTTATGGCCCTGTAGGACATTAGCCTGTCTTGTATCTATTAGCAAATGTATTTCAGCATTTAATTGGCTGACTATATAAATTCTGCTTTGAGCCAGCCTTACCCCCTTACCGGTTCCCTCATCGATGAACGAGTTGAATAAAATCTTTGGCACATACTCACCCTACATTTCTGTGAAAGTCACATTTAAAAATTTTTTAAAGATGTTATGTTAACAACTCTAAAAGGTTACTCTCACTGCTGTGAAGGAAACTGGAATGGTGTGGGATGGGTCTAGAATGGAATGTTTAAAACGAGATTCGTTTGTAAACTATTGGAATTAGCCTAACTAGTTTCAGAGTTCATGTTCTTGGGGGCGTGGAAATGATAGACTATGCCGTAACATTCTCAGTGCCGTCCCTCATTCAGTTTTTCAAAACCTTGTGGAATTTGGTATTTTTGTCCTCATTTTATAGCTGTGGAATTTAAGGCTCAGAGGAGTTAAACAGAAGCTTGAAAGTAGGGCAGCCCGGATTTGAACCCAGGACACCCCTCTGCCTGCCTTCAGCCTGGAGCTTTTCTTTCCAGGTGAATTGTGTCACCACCAACTGGCACACTCCTTTGTTCAATACCTGTATCAGCGGCAGCCTGGACTGCATGACTCTGCTTCTACGTCACGGTGCCAGCCCCCACCCGGTGAGCGACCTGGCATCTCCCATCCATGAAGCTGCTAAGAGAGGTAAATCTGAATTTAAGTTTTCCGCCCCTACTTCAACAGACATCTTCCTGTTGAAAGGAAGAAGGAAGAGGAGGGAGATTAAACATTTTTTTTTCAATATTTACTTATTTTTGAGAGAGAGAGAGAGAGATTCTTAGCTTATTTCTCGAGGTTTATTTTTGAGAGAGCAGTCAGCACAGAGCCCGATGCAGGATTCGTACCCGTGAGCCGTGAGATCGTGACCTGAGCTGAAGTCGGAGGCTTAACTGACTGAGCTGCCCAGGCGCCCCGAGGAGGGATATTTCTTGAGGGATATTTTCTCAGTGTGGGATCCTGGGACCAGACACATCAGCCTGGTCTGGCATGCCGTTGTAGATTCTTGCCCCTCACGCCTGACCCCCTGAATCAGCAACTCTGGGGTGGGGCCCAGCCATCTGCATTTTGTTTCACAACCACCCAGGTGATTTGGATGCACCCACAGTTTGAGAAGCCCCCTTTTGCAGCCTCTGGAATGTGGCTCACTGCCGGATTTCTGGAACAGGGTCTGGCACACGGTAGACTGTCCGTCAATGTTTGGGGAATACCTTGTTGAACACATGACCCCACAAAAATCAAATGATTTTATAAAACAAGTTATATCCTTCTATTTTAGGGCCTTAAGGAATGTTGTCACAGGGCCACCTAGGATTTTTAAGTGGAACAAACTTTCAGTTTTTGGAAATATAGGATGTTGTATACAGCTTGGGGTGATTGTCCACCACGCCTAGCCTTATTGAGGTATAACTGACAAATAAAATTGTACACAGTTAAGGTGTACATAATGACGTGATACACATGTACATTACGGAATGGTCACCACAGTCAAATTAATGAAGACATTCATCACCTCATATAGTCGCCATTTTTGTGTGCGTGGGGGGGAGCACTTAAGATCTACTGTCTCGGCAAATTTCAGGTACACAGTACGGTATCCCGAACAGTCACCATGCTGTACGTTAGATACGCAGGACTTATTCAGCTGGGGTAATACTCTCCACAAAGTCGTAATTTTTCCGACATTCTTCACTCGGGCACAAAACGCCAACATGGCCAGTTTTGCTCCTCTCCAGAGTTCATTCCCGCCCTCATCACCATCATGACCACACATCGGCGGAAGGGAGAGTTTTTAGCTCCCCGGTGGCTTTCCCAGGATGGCTCCCCGGGAGCCTGACGGCAACCCCATGTGACTGAATCCATCCATATGCTAATTAGCTCCCAGAGCGTTGACATTTATTCCTTAAGAGACGGGGCAGCTCATCATATTCGCTGGGTGCATAGAACTCAAATGATGTAAAAAGCGAAACGCAAAGGAGCAATGTTTTAAAGTACAGTCTCCTAGACCAAGCAAGGGTGATGCGGCTTCTGCCAGCCCCCCCTCTGCCAGACTGGGCCCCGCTCCCGTTGGATTTGGCGGCTGAACCCCTCCTGGGCCCACGGTGGCCTGTTTCTCCCAGGGCCTGCCCTGGGGGACCCTGTGGGCTGCCTGCCCCATCCCATGGCCCACACCATGCCCTTTCCTCTTCAGGTCCCCCCACGGTCCTGTCCCTCCACACCCCTCCCGACCCTCACTTCGGTTTCTATATCCGGGCCGATTACAAGGCCACCAACGCTTGGAAAAGGTTGCCGGTCGCTTACCGGGGCTGGTAAACCCAAGTGGGGCTCTACCCGGAGCTGCAGCTACCATCTCAACAGTCAACCCATTCCCTGATGGCCAGGATTAAACTCATTCCCTATTCCCCGCGCTAGCTTCTGGTCCCGGGGAAATGTACGCACCCCAAACACAGGGAAGGTGCGGTTTCCCCCGCTGAGGGAATTTGCGCGATAGCGTCTTTCTTCTGCTTTGGGCTGCAGGCCACGTGGACTGCGTCGAGATCCTGGCAGCTCACGGAGGCAACCTCAACCTCAACATCAGCCACCTGGGCACCCCTCTGTATGTGGCGTGCAGGAAACAGCAGGTGGCCTGTGTCAGGAAGCTTCTGGAGTCAGGTAAAACATTTTAGAAAGCACGCGAAACAAGGAAAGAAGACGAGAAAGAAATGAAATGCATTTGAAAGCTCTCTGTGTTGTAGCAGGGGACACGGTGGGGGCAGTGGACTCAGACAGGATCAGGGTTCACGGTGACTGTGTTCCCGTGGGGAAATATTTGAACCTGTTTGAATGTTCATTGTCTCCCTTGTAATGCGGATAACGATGATGATAGTATTTCCTCCCAGGGTGGTCCTTGCTTCTCCTCCCTCCCCTCGGCCACCTCCCTCCACAGTGCGCAGGCACGTTCTTAGCCCTGCTGACTCCCACAGCTGCTGGACCAGGCCTGGGTCTTCCCCCCGGGGCCTCCTTCACCAGTGTGCTTGGATCCGGAAATTCCACCTGTCCCGTTTGTAGCTCATTGTAAATCTTCTGTTATCCTCAACAAGGCCTATGTAGTACCCTTCTTTTTCACCTCCCTGCTGTTGTCCAGTCTCTTGTTCAACCTTGGAAGACCCATTTCATCACCCCTGTAGTTATCTGAGTCCTGCTTATTCTTCAAAACTCCAGTAACCTTTCCCTTCCCTCGAATGTTCTTAACGTTTTTTGTTGTTGTTGTTGCCTTCTACTCATTTGGCGGCCATTGCCATGAGTTAGAAGATTGATTCTTATTTTCTCTCTCTTTCTGCCTCCATCTCTCTCTCTCTCTCTCTCTCTCTCTCTCTCTTTCTCTTTCTCTCTCTCCCTCCCTTTTTCCCTCCCTCTCCCATAATGCTCTAGGTAGATTTTAAGCTCTCAGGAAAGGGCCAGGTTTCACATCCCTCACAAAGCCAAGAACAATACGGGAACAATCCAGTTAATATCTGTTCAATCCAGTTAATATTTGTTGAGTGGACGTAGTTTCCCATTTTACTAGAGGGGCAGCAGCTCAGGCAAAACCACACGTCTCCACGTGTCCCCGTGGGAGCCGGCATCCAGCTGGGGTGGGGATTTGTAGAGACTGTAGAGACAGGATTGGCTTGGGATGGGCCTAGAAATCCACCTCATTCCTGAAGAGGAGGACTTTGCCATCTTTCCTGTGACCTTGGAATTGGCCATCTTGTTCTATGAGATGCCCTCACAAGCTAGTTGCTGTTTACAGTCCATATCACACAGTCCCAGGTCCTGGGTTTTACACCCCATAACAGTTGCTCAGTGTGTGAATATGGTACTCGGTATAGATGAGATTTCACCGTCTGGCCTCACTTCCAGTTTGTACAAATATTTACACTCCTTTAATAGTGAACGTGCAGCTTTCACACCACCAGGATTCTTGTTGTATGTAACACACCTATGTATAGCACTCAAAGGCAAGGTGTTTTGTTTTGAAGTTTATTTATTTATTTTGAGGTAGGGGGAGGGGCACAGGGAGGAGAGAGAATCCCAACACGGGGCTCGATCTGGCCAACCATGAAATCATGCCCAAACCAAGAGTCGAACGCTTAACCGACTGAGCCACCCGGGTGCCCCAAAGGCAAGGTTTTAAGCCTCATGTGCAGTATAGCTCATTGTTGTGCCGTCAGTCACATCGTCAGATGGCATCTTCTCCGTATTGTTAAACGGATTCCAGTCATGCCCATTTTTGCGGAACTGCCCTGCCCACTGCAGACGCCCTTTGGTTAAGGACTTTTGCGGCACAGTCGTTTGAGGAGGGGGATGCTGGGACTTGGCTTCTTGGCTGACTCTCCGTTCTTCTTGTGACGGCACAGGAGCAAGTGTGAACGAAGGCCGAGGTCTGGACTCCCCTCTTCACGCAGCGGCCAGGGCATCCAATGGGGAGCTGGCCATCCTGCTCATGGATTTTGGAGCGAACCCCCAGGCCAGGAACGCTGATGGCAAATGTCCCTTGGAGTTGGTGCCTCCAGAGAGCCCTCTGACTCAGATCTTCTTGGAGCATGAAGGTGCTTCCCCCTTGCCCAAGCCTAGGCCCTAATCCGTAGAGACTCCTGCGGGCTCTAGCGGGAGACAGGTACTTACCAAGTTCTGACTTCTGATACCGTGTGAGAGACCGTTCTCTGCAATCCCCCATTGTGGGGTGCTGAGAGAATCTAGTATTCGACAAGGTACGGTACCGGCTATGTAGTAAGGAACCATCTGTCGTTTGCAATGTTGGAGATATCTTGGGTGATAGAGTATTCAGATATGGGGTAGGCCAGCTTTGACAGCATTAACATATCATTAAAAAATGTTTGATATTAAAGTTACCTAAAACATACTTTAGAATGATGCAGTGGAACCCTCCTTGGGGCTGGACCGTGCTCCTGGATGCCTCACTGCTCTACAGATGGGCCAGGCTACGGGGCGCCGGGTTTGTGGGGGCAAGAAGGCAGCTCATTGGTGATGAGACACTTACTGTTATATGTCAGGGACCACTGAGTCCACACTCCTTCACAAATGAGAACCAGCACTCTGGACCCAAACAACTAAACATTGTTACTGAGCGCCATGCAAGGGGGTAGGGCTGTGGGCTGGGGTGGGGCGCAGAGACCCCTCCTCCCCTGGCATTCACAGTTGTCCCTGGAAATGGAGAGCGGCCCACTCAGGACCTACTTTTTCACCAGAGTGTGCACTTTGTTAAGTTTTCGGGATTGTGGGACCCTGCATGTTGCCGCCCTGGGAGAAGAGCTCTGACGGTGTGTCATCCGGTTATATTCTCCTCGCGGGCTGAGCATTGGGCCTAGCTCTGTGCAGAATCGTACCGTGGCCGCCGAATCCTTCCCGCCGCTCCGATTGCCCCGGGTACTTGCAGCCAAAGACCTGCCTCAGGGCCCCCCAGACAAGGCCTGTACTCTCTGAGCAGCGTCAGCGGGCTAGGGAAGGCCAGGCCCTGGGCGCAAGGAACGGTTCAATAGAGACCCCTTTACATTAGGCAGCGGGGTGATCGCCAGGCCATTCTACCTGCGTTTTGGTGATTTGTTTTTTCAAAAAAATTCTATCTATCTATAGGCCTGCTTCTCCAGCAGGTCCAGACCGCACTATGCTTGGGGCCCATGATGTTTTTAGGGACCCACAGAAATGTTGTAATTCCTTTTCAAATCTGAAGGAAAAAAATGGATAAAACTCAACCTGGATTGTGTTTGTCTTTATACCCACACAGTTGTAAAATACCGTTTTTTTTTTTTTCCCATTGGGAAAGAGGGCCACAAAAGCAGAAGGGCCTCCTGGGCCCCTAAAGTCCCCAAGTCATGTACATAGACACACACACACACACGCACACAATCCCCTCATCTGCCTCAGCAAATAATCCCAGCAGATTTTCCGATCACGTCCACAGGCTCTTCCTTCCACTTTCTGTCCCTAAGCCCATTCGTAGGCTCCTACATTGCCTTTCATTCCTTTGATTACATTTTGGTGACGGTGTGATCGATGATCCCGCTGGTTTGTAAAATGTCATTTGTCCCTGGAGAGAATTACTGCTGCTTTTGCCTCCATGAGTCATTTTCAGAGTCATTTGCCCCTCTCAGCAGCCTGGAAGCCCACAGGAAATGAGGCCAGGCAGGCACAGAAGGCCAGACCTGCAGCTCTAACACAGCAGATTCTGTCTCTGGATGTCCCTGGAAAGGAGTTCAGGAATAGTACCACCCCACCCGCCTTGAAAAGCGTCTAAAGCAGTGTTTACTCATGGCGCACAAGGAAAACTAAAAAAAAAAAAAAAAAAAAAAAAAAAAAAAAAATGCCGGTCAGCCCAGTGCGACAGGAGCCACGCCCCACATTACTTTCGCTGTACAGCATCGTGTGAAGCGTGAGTGTTGCTGGGCGAAAAAAAGAAATCGAGACCCAGAGCGACAGATAGTTCGCAGAGAGAAATTAGCTGGTTTTATTACTGAGCAAAGCAAACTGCTCGAACGCTCGCAGGTGCCAGTGCTTTATGGAATGAAGGCTGCAGTTGTACGTCATCCTACTTACAGTAAACGGCAGATATTCGATTGGTGTCGGTAGCTGCACTGAGCTAACTCCGATGTCCCGCTTTTCTGCATCGTCCAACAGTTCTTTATCGGTTCCTCCTCCAGCCGTTCCTGACAGCGTGTCTAGCACACGTGATTAGTCACGTCCCTCACCATTCCTTTACGAGGTGAACCGAAGTTCAGTTTCCCCACAGTGTACTTTCTGCCGCTTGTTAATGTGTGCCTCGCGCGCGCTGGGAAGCAGTTCGTTAGTACATGGCTCCAGTGGCACTGAACGTAGTCTGGAAGTTTCCCTCAATCCCGACGGGGGCCTTCGGAGTGTGCCGCGAGGTCCCGCTTGAAAATCCCGCATTCATTTTCGTTGACGGTGCGTGCGGCTCTTTCCACCTGTCCTTCTCCATCACCTGAGAAACAGGCAACCGACTTGTAGGGACGCCATAGGAAATCCGAGGCCTCTGGATCTTTCTGCGTGTGTTCTCAACCCTGGCTGCACAATAAGATGACTTGGGGCACGTGCCTTTAAAAAAGCCAGATGGACAGGCCCCACCTAACGTTCACTGACGCACCACCTCTGGGGTGGGACCCAACACCGTGTGGTTTCAAGCTCCCCGGATAGGTGATTCTAAAATGCATCCTGAATTGAGGGCCACTGCCTTCTGGGATTCTTGACGGTGCATAGCTTGGCTTTTTTGTGTGTGTTTGATAAGCAAAGCACAATTCCCATTACAGTTTGGTGCAGGGGGTGGGGGAGGGGTGGGAAATTGTTCCCCACCCTTTTACTCCATAACGGGGTTTCTCAGCCTCAGCTCTGTTTACGTTTCGGGCCAGGTGGGGGCTGTGCTGTGCACCATATGGTGTTTAGCGGCCTCTCTGGTCTCTACCAGCCAGTTGCTAGTAGCGCCTCTCCCCCAGGTTGTGACAAACAGAAGTGTCTCTAGGCTTTGCCAACTGTCCCCTCCTTTTCGCCTCCCCCCCAGCCCCCTGTTGAGAACCACCGTCCTGAAATGTAAACTCTTGGCTGGTTCCCCGTGCCAGGTTTGTGCTGGCATCGGGTTAGCCCTGAACGCAGAATAAAAAAAACAAATATGACTTAACTCAGGTAACATACACTTACTTGGGCCTCACTGATCACTCACTTTATTTGAATATCCCGAAACTGCTAAATTATAAAAATACACGTTTGTATCTCGAAATACCCTATCTTTTTTCTTAAGGTAAAAATACAAGGAAGCTGTTAAACATGAATTTTCTCTCCATCCTGGGGAATTTTGTGCGGCTTCATCATTCCAGACTTAGCTGCCTTAGGCCTCCATTAGCGGGAGTAGGCTTTGACTTTTTTTTTTTTTTCCAGTCTCTTCTAAATCAAAACCTAACAAGCTCATTTGCATGAGATTCCGGGTAAGAGAGACCATGGCCTAAAAATGCTGCCCTCCCCCCCCCCCCCCCCCCAGGCCCAGAACACGGTCTTCGGGAGAGCGGCGTTATCTCCTTGTGACCGTGGTGCGGCTCGGGTGCTGTATAAGGAGGAAAGAGCAAGTAGTCTTGGGTCGCTGGCACCAACGTGTGGCTTGTCTCGCCGTCTCTCTGCAGGGCCTCCTTCTCTGCTGCAGCTGTGCCGCCTTCAAATCCGGAAGTGCTTCGGAATCCAGCAGCATCATAAGATCAACGAGCTCTTTCTCCCAGAGGAGCTGAAGCGTTTTCTCCTACACATGTAAATGAGATATCTCAAAATCTCTGGGGGATATCACAGGCCGCACACGAATGTGGTTGAATGTTGTGGCCACCGGCATTGTGAAATAAATCCAGGTTTATGAAGCTTGGCTAACTTGGTGTCCATTCGATTTTTATCTTCGATGGCAACACGCTGGGCACTTCTGTGTTATGGGTTGGAAGGCGTGAGGACACCCCCCTGCCCACCACCCCCCCAAGAGGGTGGCCAAAAGAACAGCTGTCGTTTGAACCTTGACTGCGGCCGAGCACTGAGCTAGGACCGCTTAATGCGCTAATTCAGCCCTCACAGCAGCCCTGCCAGGTGGGTACCCCCCCTTTTTTTTTTTTAATTTTTTTTTCAACGTTTATTTTTATTTTTGGGACAGAGAGAGACAGAGCATGAACGGGGGAGGGGCAGAGAGAGAGGGAGACACAGAATCGGAAACAGGCTCCAGGCTCTGAGCCATCAGCCCAGAGCCCGACGCGGGGCTCGAACTCACATACCGCGAGATCGCGACCTGGCTGAAGTCTGACGCCCAACCGACTGCGCCACCCAGGCGCCCCTCCCCCTCTACCCTTCTGCAGGTGAGACGCAGAGACTCGGGGAGGTCAGCTTGTCCGCTGACTCACAGTGGGTCCGAGGAAGCCAGACGCCGGGATGGCTTTTCGGAGGCTAACCTGGGGACTTTCGTCTGAGGCAGAAGTTGTTGCCACTGCTGTCTTGGTTCCGTCCCTGTTGCGTGGCAAGGAGGAGAAGAAGAAAGAGATTTCTTTGTCTACACCTGACTTTTAAAAAAAATTTGTTTTCAGATTAACAAAACATTTTTTTGCGTTTATTTATGTATTCATTTCTTAAGTTTTATCTATTTATTTTGAGAGAGAGAGAGAGCATGCAAGCAGGGAAAGGGCAGAGAGAGAGAGAGACAGATTCCCAAGCAGGCCCCGCACCATCAGCACAGAGCCCAGTGTGCGGCTCGAACTCAGGAACCGTGAGATCACGACCTGAGCCGAAAGTAAGAGTCGGATGCTTAACCGACTGAGCCACCCAGGCGCCCCCAAGTTTGTTTATTTGATTTGAGAGAGAGAGAGAGAGAGAGAGAGAGAGAACCAGCAGGAGAGGGACAGGGTGGGGGGACAGAGAGTCTGAAGTGGGTTCTGTGCTGACTGCAGACAGTCCGACGTGGGCCTCGAACTCACTAACCGTGAGATCACGACCTAAGCCAAAGTTGGACGCTTAACTGAGCCACCCAGGTGCCCCTGACTTTTCTTTCTAAAGCTTCCCTCTTACGACAAAACCACAACTGCTGTACCACAGCGTAGGGGCCATTTCTTTTTCTCAAAGTGTGGCACGTACATGTTAGGCATATTCTAGAACCATGCTGTCCAATACAGTAGCCATTAGCCCCAGTGGTTCTCAACAGGGCGTGGTCTTGCCCACTAGGGGACATTTCTGGGGCATGTCTGTAAACTTTTTTGGTCGTCCCGCCTCTGCGGCCGTCCTGCTGGCATCCAGTAGGTAGAGGCCAGGGCCGTTGTGAAAGTAGCCTACAGTGCACAGGACAACCCCCACAGCAGAGAATGATCCAGTGCAAAATGTAAACAGCGCCAGGGTTGAGAAAAACCACACTCGCCATAGGTGGCTATTTTTTTAAGGTAAATTAATGAAAATCAGATAAAAACCCAATCCTCGGTGTCATTGGTCACGCATCAGGTGTTTCGTACGCTACTGTATTGGACAGCACACACGGATATAGATCACTGCAGAAAGTTCTATCCCATTGTTGCAGAGATTGCCATTGGACCGCACTCTTAGATGCTTCACGAATGGATTGTAACTGCCTTTCGGTTTCTGATTTACATGAGACCCGTGATACAATTCAGTAAGGATGGCTGTAGCGTGTCTTTTCCCGGAGAGAGAGATTTGGGGCTCCACTGTAGCAACAGAAAGAAAGAAAATGTTGTACCTACTTAAGGCAAATCCTTACCTGTAAGATGACACAGGGCCTAGATTATCTCTAAAGATATGTCCGATGTAATTTCTGTGGTTCTAAATTCAATTTGCTTTCTGAAAAAAATAAAGAAAAAAAACCCCTCTAGAATATTGTTCTAAAATGCCCAGCTAGCTACCCAGCAGGTGGCGCCGCTGGCACATAGTCGCTTAAGCAGAAGGCTTGCTCCTTAATAAATGGCCCATTGTAAGAAGGTTTACAACATAGGCTCTGGAAATTTCCATTCAGGAACAAAAACTTTGTAGTGATAGATTCCATGGACACTGCGTTTCCTTCTTCCCTCCCAGTGGACCCAAAAAGGCACATGTGACTTTACAGAACCTCACTTCCCTGCTCTTTTGTTTTGCCTTCTTGATCTGATCGTGTTGACATTTATAACTGCTCAGAATTCAGACAGACTTTGGCCAGCATCCTGCCCCTTGCTAATTCACGTAATTTCGTTAATTCATTTATTCGGGAAATATTTAGGGCCTGTGTCTGTCAGGCACTATTCGAGACCCCAGGGTAGCCACAGTGCAGGAGACAGGCCAAGATATTACATTGATTTTCTGGATCTTAACACTCTAGTCGGGGGAATCACCTGTTAGGGGTAAGGAACTGTAGGTGCTTTGCTATAGTTTTCTTTTTGAAAACATTGGCTTAAAAAATAGCCTGCTTTCTCATTTAAAATGTATTGGACAGATTCTTGCTTATGTTAATCTTCCCTCAGCCAAATCCTCTGAGTACAGGACTGTACAGAATTACTAGAACAGCATTTTTCTTCTTAAATCTTCCAGACAATTAACCAATTTGCAAATCCATATAATAGATGGTCATCTCCACAAATGGGAAAAATACCACGCTCGTTGCAATTTGGGAAGATTTCAAATTACCTCACTTAGCAATGCTCAGAAAGGAGATTCGATTTAAATAGAAAGTCTATTTTTATGAGTCTAGATGTGGTTATATGTATAAGTGGTATATACCTTTGAACACTTTATCACAATATGGGACAACCACGTAAATTCTATCATCAAAGCTGGTTCGGTGACATTCAATAGACTCCCCCCCCCCCCTTCATGAATGAGGGATGTAAATTTTTAGCCTCATGAAACCATCTTTTAAAAATAGTTATTATTGGGGTACCCGGGTGGCTCAGTCGGTTAAGTGTCCGACTCTCGATCTCCGCTCAGGTCATGATTTCGCAGTTCATGGGTCCGAGCCCCGGGTCAGGCTCTGCACAGACAGTGTGGAGTCTGCTTGGGATTCTCTGTCTCCCTCTCTCCCTGCCCCAATCCCCCACTCACTCACTCTCAAGACTAAATAAATACACATTTAAGACATAAAAACATAAAAACGGTAATTATTGTGTCTGGTTGTAGAGGGCAGACTTAACACATCTTTATTGTAGCCCCGTCTCCTATTGTCAGTTTCATTCTAGTTCTAATGAAAAAAGCAAGCAGGAAGGGGAAGGCAGGGAAGGACAATTGATTTACTCTGGGTTTGTGCTGGGGTTGATTGACACAGTCTGGTACTCCGTGTACCAGGTTGGAGTGGTTAGTCATTAAGCAGACACTCGGGGCTCAGAAGCAAGGGACCAAGATGTGCTCAGCTGTCTGCTGTGGAGAACGGGTGTTGGGCATTAATGATATGAAAGCTTCAGATTAAGGCTCAGGTATAAGACCCAGGCAACACTAAAAGCAATTAAATACCACCTCCCATTTTAGAGGGCTTGCTAATGGCTAGGCCTTAGGTATCCGTGATTTCTTTTTTTTTTAATATGAAATTTATTGTCAAATTGGTTTCCATACAACACCCAGTGCTCATCCCAACAGGTGCCCTCCTCAATGCCCCCCGCCCACCCCCCCTCCCTCCCACCCCCCATCAACCCTCAGTTTGTTCTCAGTTTCTAAGAGTCTCTTATGTTTTAGCTCCTTCCCTCTCTAACCTTTCTTTTTTTTTTCTTCCCCTCCCCCATTGTCTTCTGTATCCGCGATTTCTAAGCCTTACTTCAAACCCTCACAACTCTTATCCCCACTTGACAGGTGGGGGCACAGAGGGGTTAAGGAATTTACAAAATCTCACACAGAACCAGAGTTCAATGCCGAGAGCGAGACCAGAGCTCTTAACCATTCGCTCTTTGCCTTCTATCTGCTTCAATAAATCCCAGAGCTCTGATCCCTGGGTCCTAAAACTCCCTGCCAATTTCTGGCAGGTCTTTGAAGTGGAACTGAGTGTAGGTCAAAGGTCTGGGTACACCGGTAGGTGGCTGTGCCAGGTTAGGCTGGACATCACCCAACCCTTTCACTGACCCTATGAACCAGCCCGGGAGGCCCCAGACTTGCCGCTTTTGGGTCAGGCAGCCCAGCCTTCCCCGCCAGGAACGCTGGTAAGTACAGAACATTTGGCGTGGCCAATGACGTTTCTTTTTTTTCTGAACTGAGGGCATTTTGTACTACCTTTGTCATTGTCAAAAATCTATCTGTAATGTGGCAGGGTGGAGGGGAGTGCCTGGGCTTTGAACAAAATCGTCTAACTGCTCATTTGTTAGTTGTATGTAATTTTTTTTTTTCTTTTTGTGCTATGTTAGTGTTCTATTGCCGCACAATAAATTATCACAAACTTAGTGGCCTAAAGCAATACAAGGTTGTGATCTCATAGTTTCTGAAGGTCAGAAGTTCAGGGACAGTGTGGCTGGATTCTCTGCTCAGGGTCTCACAGGGCTGGAATCAAGGTATTGACCCAGGGTACAGTCTCATCTGGGGCGTGGGGCTCTTTCTCCAAGATCACCAGCCATTAACAGAATTCAGTTTCTTGCGGTTGTAGGACTCAGGGCCTTGTTTCCCTGCTAGCTGTGAGCTGAGAACTGTTGTCGGCATCTAGAGATCTTCCACAGTTCCTTGCCGTATGCCCCCCTCCCTAGGAATGTCACGGCATCTACCCTGGATTTCTTCCGGGCCAAATGGCATGCATGTCCCCGGCTCCTATGCTGCAGCCAGCTGGAGGGGACTCTGCTTCTGGAGGGTTCTCCTGGTTAAGTCAGGCCTACTTAGATAATCTCCTGATTGGGGACCTTAGTCACTGCTGCAAAATTCCTTCAAATGACCACCCAGGTTAGTGTTTAATT